TAATGTGCCATGTTTTGTAATCAAAAAAGTAGTTACTCAGAGCACACGATGTGGGCATAAAAATCCTCCAATCAATATTAGCACAAAATTTCCTTTGCAATGAACTAAGAAGCACCAGTTGAATAGCTAACTTGCATGTTCCCCCTTTCCCCATCCCAGTTCTTTTTTCCTTTTAAGCAGTTTCTTCCCATTTCACAATATCTACTGTAAACGTTGTATCTTATTCCCTCTCCATTGCTCACATTAGGAAGACAATAGGATGATTACACATGAGGGTCTGATTTGGTTCACTTATGGGGATAGTCTCAAGTGACATCTGTTTATTTACAAAAGTCTCAAAATTATCCTTCTTCATGGCTGGTAGTACAACGTTGTACAAAAATAACACATCATTTTTATGTATTCCTCAGTTGATGGGCATTTGAGTTGTTTCCAAGATTTAGATATGACAAATTATATTAGAAACATGGGTGCACATATATCGCTGTGGTATAACATTTTTAATTCCTCTGGGAAGACACCCAGAAGGAGAATTAGAGCTAAGTTGAATGGGACCTCTAATCTTAGATAGATAGATAGATAGATAGATAGATAGATAGATAGACTGATTGATTGATTGATTGATTGATTGATTGATTGATTGATTTGGTACAGGATTTCGCCACACAGCTTGGACCCATAGTGATCTTCCTGTCTCAGCCTCCCTAGTGCTGAGTTTACAGGAATATACCACCACACCAGGTTTGGTGGCTGGTGCAGAGTGCTCAGGGTTCTGGGTCTGGCCCGCAGGGTTCTCAGTTAAACCCTGGTTGTGCTTGCACTCACCAGGCAGGTGCTTCGACCATGAAGCTGTTCCCCCAGCCCTACTCCTAGCTTTCTGAGAAATCTCCATACCAATTTCCACAGTGGTTGCAACGGTCTATACTCCCACCCACAGTGGAAAAGGATTCTTTTGCCCACATTTGCTCCAACATTTGCTGTTGGTTGCTTTCTTGATGACAGCCATTCTTTCTCAGGTGAGATGTAATCTCAGTGTTTTAATTTGCATCTCTTGAATGATCAATGGTCATTTTTTCATGTTGACAGATTGTCAACATTTTTTCATATATTTATTTGCCATTTGTATTTCTTCATTTGAGGACTGTGTATTCATCTCAAACACCCATTTTTGGATTGGGTCTTTGAATTTGGGGTGGTCTGAGATTTTTGAATTCTTTATAGGTTTGAAAAAGAAGTCCTTTGAGGGATAATGGGCTAAAATTTTTTGACACTGTGTTTTTGTGGGGGTTTATTTGACACAGATTTTCACTATGTAGTTCAGACTGGCCTTGAACTCACTATGTAGTCCAGGTGGATTTGAACACACAGTGATTTTCTTGCCTCTGCTTCCAGAGTGCTGGGATTGCAGGTATGTGTCCCCAGACCTAACTACGTATTTAGCACATATTTTCAACTGTGTGTTTTATGGGTTATTGAAGGCTTAAAGTACATTTTGAATGCAATGTTCTATTTGATCATATTTTGTAGCCATTGTAAACCTACCTTCAGAGTGACCATTTCTCCTGGAATGTGCCTTCTGTGGTGATTTTGTAGCAGAAACTTTATTTCCACCGTTTTTGAATAAAGCCAGGCGCACAGTAGGATCTAGACAAAAAGAGAAAGGCAAATGTGTTGATTAGCTCTGGGCTATTCTTCTTTTGATCTGACATTTTATGTCTTTTATGGAGGTATTAAAATATTTCCTCTTTTTGGGCTGTCGAGATAGCTTAGGGGTCTAAGCACCTGCCTGGGAAGCACAAGGACCTGGGTTCAATCCCTACTACCACATGCCGTGCTGGTCCCAAAACCCCGGGCTTCAGGTGCACGCCTGTGATCCCAGTGCTGGGGAGGTTGAGACAGGAGGATCACTATGAGACCTACCTGTATAGCAAGTCCCTGTACCAAATAAATAAATAAATAAATAAATAAAACATTTAAACAAATTTTTTTTCTCTATTAGTGCTTTATGAAATTGATGATGCTATTTCAAGTCTAAGAATTTCAAAAGATAACCAGCCATGCTTATATTCTTGGTTATAAGATTAAACATCTAGCCAATATTTAGTATAAAGGAAAGAGATATAATAATGTTTAAAAAACTGTACGTAAGCTTTCTCCTTATAACCTTCATTTGTGAAGATGCTCTACTGCTTACTATCTTGGCTCCTTTCTCAAATTCTTTATATTTTATAGAATAAGCAAAATTTCCATAAATATATTAGTAGGTGAAAGGAACAATTTGAGGAACTATGTAACTACTTGAAAACATAGGAAATTGAAAGAAGAAAGCTAATGAAATAAGAAAAAAGAGATTATTTTTTATTCATTTATTGCAGAAAATAGTATGCTTTCTGATCAAATGCATCATATTTACATGACAAAGATGAATAAATTACCTATAATTTTTAAATCCAGGAACATCTAAATCTATTAACTTGACAAAATAAATCACTAAAAATAAAGGGTAGTATAATTCTTTACTGATAATAAATTGTTCCATGGAATGAGAAAATTGAGATCTTTACTGCTGCACTAGATTCTTGCTTAAGAACCTAAAGAAAAGAAGGAAGTGATTCAAGTCCCAGGGAGTGAAATAGAGCGTAAGGTTATGTATCAACAGGGCAACAGAAAAGCGCAGCTCAGAGTAGTATAGACTTTCTTAGCATCTTATGCCATGTGGAAGAAAGTAAGATAATTTAAGACTGGTTGGTGAATACCTAGTATAGCAGAGCTGAATATGCTAAATGGCAAAGAAGGTTTTAAGTTAGAAATATCAACTACATATTTTCATTAAATGCTATTGTACCATAACTGTTAAAAATACAGAGAAGCAAAATGAATTGCATTTGCAGTTATTCTCTAGAATGAGCAAACCATGCATTTTCATTAGTCATTAGTAATAATTTATCCTTCCTAAGAATAATTTATATGTTTCACAGATATGATATTTCCCAGGATTATGGAAAACACCAATGTTTGGATACATTCAGGTATATATAAACTAAGGTGTTGTAATAGTTAGATGTTTCTACATTAATTCAATTTGTACTAATAATAAGGATAAATCTTGACATACATATTTCATAAAATCAGTTTTATATATCATCTAAATCATTTACTGGAAACATTGCTAAGTTCAAAAGAAGTATTAGTCAATCAGGAAAGACAATTTCTGTTTGGTAGCCAACTGCAGTACCTTCCAACCTACTGTAATACCATACGACAATCCTGCTCTTCTTTTGCTCTGGTCATTCTGTTACAGCTACATATTTTCTAAGCAATACAACTGAAGGGAAATTGGTGAGATTCTTTTCTTTCTTTCTTTCTTTCTTTCTTTCTTTCTTTCTTTCTTTCTTTCTTTCTTTCTTTTTTTGGCAGAACCAGGAGCTGAACTCAGGCCCTTGTGCTTGCCAAGGAAGCACTTATTCCACTGAGTCATCTCCCCAGCCCAATAAGGTTTTTGTTTTGTTTTGTCTTTTTGTTTTTGTTTTCGCAGTGCTGGGGATTGAACTCAGGACCCTGGGCTTACCAGGCAAGTGTTTATTCTACTGAGCTATCTCCCAAGTCGTGGTGAGATTCCTATTCCCTTCTTTATCATTGACTGAGTTTGAACGAAGTATTCTGCTGCTTTGCCTTCTCCTTTGTTCATCAGTAATTATACTGACTTTGAAGCACAACTATGGGAATTAATGTGAAGGATCAAATCTCCTATCCACATAAGTACTGGCACTCAGCAAATACCATCTAATAGACACATAGTTACATAAGGTAAAAATAATACTCCCAACTTATTACATTTTGTGGTAACAATATTTCTGTAAGATAAAGTGAGATTTATAAGAAATAGATGAATCCATAATTGTTTTGTTTTGTTTTTTAGATTATTTATTTGGTACAGGGTCTCCCTACACAGCTCAGACTCGTAGTGATTCTCCTGTCTCAGCCTCCCAAGTGTTGCAATTACACGTGTGTGCCACCACGCCTGGTTTCAGTGGCTGGCACAGTGTGGGGCCGGCCAGGCATGTGGTACTGGAGATTGAAACCCGACTCTTGCGCTTTCTAGGCAGGTGCTTAGACTGCTGAGCTATCTCCCTGGCCCAGCTGCCTTGCATACTGGAAATATCTCAGTATGGGATATTTCAGTGTCCCATACTGAAATAGTTCTATACATATATACCGTTTGGTATTTTCTTGGGCAAATAATCATTTCTCAATGACCTGATTTCTTACCATGTAAAACAGGGATAGAAAATAGCACTTTGCTCATTGTACTATCAGAATCAAATAATTTAACACACATAAAATATTTGCAAAACTTGTCTGGCTCAATTGATTCAATAAAATAATTTTGCTTCCCAAGAGTACATAAAGAGCACTACATTATAAATATCCTTTTATTTCAAAACATCCTGATTGCATCACTTTAAATTGATTTAAAACATAATTCAAAGAGCAAAGGGACAATGATAAGAAGCAAGAAACATGGTAATTTAAGATGGAGAAAACATTGATTTTACTAGTTTCTAGAAATAACACTATCCTTACTCTCAAAAGAAAATCTAACAAGAAATCCAGGAGATAAAGATGCTATACACTGCTGGTTGGTCTCTTGGCTAAGATCAAGTGAAGACACTATAGAGCATAGTTTATGACACATTTTTAGAAGAAGGATTTTTTTTTTCTCTTCATTTTTTTGGCTGGCTCAGCTGCCTTCAGGGCGTGTCTGGTAAGGCACTTGTGGCTGGGGATTGGACCGCAGTCCCCTGTGCCTGGCTGGGTTTGCCTGTGCAGGTGCTTAAACAATTGAGCAAATGTACAAGCTCCCTAAGATACAATTTAAGTGCATTACAAAGTTAATTTTGTGCACTCAGCTTACTTTCTGTGACCATCAAAAGAGATGCTTTAAGCTTTTTTTCTATTTTAAAAACGTTTTTCAATTTTTTCACCATAGCTTGCCCAGTGTCAAAAATAGCTATTTATTGTATTTTTAAAAATATTTCAAGAATTCCCTCAGTAAGTAAACCAAGTTCCTACTACACATTTCAGTAGCATTTGATACTTTATATCCATTCTCTCTTTTAAGTAACAACTTTAAGAGTAGCAGTATTTTGTCATATTTATAATCCCTTTTGTTTTTAAAATCCTAATTTTACTTCACTATTTGACTTTGTTTTTACATAAAAATGACATTATTATCCACTTTCTATATTAGTTATCACTTTAAAAGGCATACTATTATTAACTAACTTAAATTCAACAGAAGCAAAATTAAAAGACTAAAATAGAGTCACATATACTGTTAAATGTATATTAGTAATGTTCATCGAATTTGTTGTTCAATAAGCAGTTATTCATGAACTGTCTATCCAATGCTTTCTCATTCCTCTATTTATGAGATTTTAAATTTTATATGCATACATATGATAAATGTTGCAAAGGCATATTCGTATCATTTGACCATAGTCATTAAGCTTGTTAACTGTCCTCTGAACCAAAATTCCTCCGCTCAACCCCAGAGCATCCTCTCTAAGGACTACTCTACAGCAGATCAACCATCCACTCTTTTCTCCCACCCAACTCATCTCAGCCCTGCTACCAAGAGTGGTCACTACCCTTAGGTTATTGACCTTGCATGTTTTTAATAAACCTGAAACTCCCACTTTACACATGATATTCTTCACCGCAGTACTGAATTCTAGACTTGCCTTCATTTCATCTAAATTCCAAACGCAGTTAACTACATTCTTAAGTTACTGTCTTGCGTGAGGGACCAGCAAAAACAAACAAACAAACAGCCCACAAAAACAAGACCAGTCATTATTGGTTCAAGCTTATGTCAATCATGAGGGAAAAAGCAATTACTTGCTTACTGTGAAAAACAACAACCATAATCCAAACATAAACTGAGTAACTGGTGATAACTCTTAACAATTTTAGACTTTATCCTGTGGCTTCCAAAGATTCCTGTTCTTCCTTCCGTACTGCTCTTTCTCCTCTCAAATATATATGGTTCATGATACCAACAGAAGTCACCAACAGAGTCTCCCCCAGCAGTTATACATAAGTTTTCTGTCCCTTCTTTTATGAATCAACTCCATCAGCAATATTCTTCCTCGCTCTGCAACTGTTTCCATAATAGGTTTTTTTCCTAAATTAATTGAGCATCTGTCTTTTGTCTTATTTTCATTCTAATCTTACACAAAATATTGTTTACCCATATCCTGGGTTAATAAAAATACGTGAAAGATAAAAGTAAGAAATATTAAATGCTTCACTCTGAGCAACCTGTTCTAAAGTTTTTATTGGCACAAATTAGAATGTGAATGAAAGCTTCTACACTCCACGTGCCTGAAGGTCGCAGCTCTGCCACAATGTGAGACATAGACGGTTCTCTTTGATTAAGGTCCTGCCGTCTGACATCCCTCCCCCAACTCCCCAGCTGACCCCAGCACTGCAGGCTGCTCTAGTAGTTTTATAGGCAATGCTGTCCTCTGGTGGTCAGAAAATTTCAAGGTAGTATCCTGGCCACGTAAACATGTACATATTACAGTACGTCTTACTAGTTTACCAGTGATTTAAACTTACTAGAAACAGGTTAAACAAAATTTAAACATTTAAAACTTGTTTATCAAATTAATGAACAAAAATTTAAAATAACGACAATTATTTTATTCAGGGAAGGTAACGGCATGGCACAAACTGAGTGAATTATAAAAGTGAGGGGAAAAGGCAGCGGGAAACTTTTTGTTCTCTAAGGAGAAAGTTGCAAGCACAGAATTTCCAATGATTTATTCACAGGCAAAAGATGCATACACGCAAAATCATCGACCTAGTAAATAAATGTGATGTGATGACTGCAAAGGACTCCTTTGATTTTTTTTCATCTTTTCACCTTAATTCTCCTTTAAAATTTAAAATTTGTACATCTATGTAAAGAAAGAGTAGAAGAAAAGATTAAGGAGTGGATAAAGGTGACAACTAAATTTTAGACTAAGGTATTCCTACCTGAAAGAAAATTTGCTATATGCTATTAATCTAGTATTTTTTGATGAAACAAAAGTAAAACAACAACATAACAGAAATTCAAAATCACACAATCATAACAACAATTTGTATTACAATTGTATGACTGGAGGAATCTCCACAAAAATTATTCAAGGATCATTCAGAATTTTTATTGCACTAGGGATGTTTAATGAGCACTGACAAAAAATATATAAATTATAAATGTAATTGTTACGTGCGACTACTGGCTTTTCTTCATTATTTGTTAGCTTAATATGCCCCCTTGTAACTTTATACCTAATTGTATCTCATTGTGGTCATTGAAGCTATGATTATATATGAGGATATACTTATTGAACGATTTGCTAAAACATTTACTATACAGATTTATCAAAAACATAATCAAGATAAAACAAGCTTTTAGTAACAACAATTAATAACAATTAATAAGAAAGACCTACGCATTTCCAGAGTCAGTATCATATGACAAGTTTGTAAAGATAATCTTCTCTTGTAACTACAGGAGGCCACTCTACAGATGATAAATACATTTTTAAAAGTGAGATAGAAAAACATTGAGTGTAAGTTGAACGTAATTACCAACTAGCTGAATCCGTTCTTACACTGATATTCTGACAATGAACTAACTCCAGAATACTTCAGAAATTGTTATCATAATTAAAATCATAATACTTCAGAAATTTTTATCATTTTTAAAACAAAGTATTTTTTTGATACTCGTGAAGATGAGCTGAAGCACACATGGAAGCCATGACGGAGTCTATCCACTTACTCTGGCTTACTGTTGTAGATTCTACATCCTCACAATTGAAGGTTGGAGTTGACATTTCACTGATATCCACCACATAATATTTAATCCCTGAACCCTAAGCAATGTAATAGTAGTTTACAAGAAAAGCCTGAAGGAGGCAGAGATAAATTTAAAAGCAAAATGTGTATTTATCATTTCTTTAATAATAGCTAATACTTCAATATTTCAAATTTGAGAAATTCTTAGTAAACAAAAAGATTGTTAATCCCAAAGACAAAGTATAAACTAAGGGGTCACCAGTAACAAGAAAATAAAGTTGCACAGTTCTGAAAATAAAAATGGCTCACTTGTAATTTATCAGTGGCTACTCGACAAGATACTGGGGATACCAGCTATTCCTTGGAAATAAAAGTTATTTTTATTTCTATTTTTAAGAACAAATAGGCATGAAAAGTTTTCAGTAGGATGGAATTCTACTGAATTCTTAAATTAAATAATAAATAGAAAACAAAAAAATAAATAGAAAATCAGTAAGGATAAAAATAATTTTTGAATATTATTTGTAGATCTATATAAAGTAGAATTCCAGTGTAAATCTAGCTTTATTATGTGATTAAAAACACACAGCTTTTAAAAAATCTTATCACTTATGTTGAACCTATGAGTTCATCACTTTATAAAACCGAGAAGAGGAAAGTTAGCACAATACATAAACAAATTTAAATACTTTTAGGTCAAAAGATATAGAATAATAACTTGTTATTTCTTGTCCATAGATTCATAAACTCTTCCACATATTAAGTAACTACACTAAAATAATTAGTTTGCAAAAGAAAGGGCAAATGATTCGAAGAGTAGTTGAGTTACAGGGATAGAAGAAAAACCTCTAAATGGTTTCTAAATTCTCCAAAATCATAAAATACATGAATTACGTTTTTTTGTCAACGTGTCAAGTTGTGAAACATCCTTAACTAAAATCAGGGAAACTGGTAAATGTACATAGTGCGTTGAATACTCAAATGTTTTACAATTATGCAAAAGAACAAGCAAGCATACAAAGCAGGTCTTCTTCCGAATCGACATTCTCCAAAAGGAACCAATTTAGAAAGAAATTAAGTGATAATGCTCAGTGCACAATAGATAGACTAATCAATAGCAAGCTGTACAAAAAGTAGGGGAGAAACAACAGAAAGAACAGTTAAGGGTGCAATAAATCATTCAATGGAATGGCATAAGTTTCTCAAGTTTACTTTTCCGATCATTATCTCAGATGTTCATCTGTGCATTCATTTCTGTTATTAAACATGATCTGGAGAATATAATTTATAAAAATTTATTTTCAACAAAAATTTATTTTCAAGATGACAAACATGTATTAGTCAAAGATCCTTCACTACTCACCTAAATTTTTCCTTGACTTCCTTGATTGCATTTTTTGTGCCCTCTTCAACATTTGCTGAGCAGTAGAAATATCCTTAAAACCCCTATTAAAAGATAAATTTAATCAGGCAAAAAAAATACAGTTGTTCTTTAGCTATTTAACATATATGAATTAGATCACGGTAAAATTAACTTTATTCTGTTCATGCAACTTGTAATTTAACCAGATGTTTAATTTCTTAAAAATTAAAAGAAATGCATTCTGGAATCCTGAAAAGTGTATGCCTTAGACATTTATATGGCTTTTGATTTCTTATTTTTTAGGGTAAAATAGACCACATACCATTCTTCTGAAATTTTTTCTTCTTTTTCAGACTTGAGCAAGCTCTTTCTCCTGGTCTTTGATTCAGGTGTCCAGGCTGATATCCTATTTTCTGAGCTGGCAGTGGAAATAAATTTTGAACTGAATCCACACATGTATATCAGCACTGTTTAAAGCAAAATGCTGCCTATGTTGCTGCAAACTTGGAAATTCTATTTAAGTTACAAGAAAGCTTTATCTTGAAAAGTAATAAAAGTCTGTCATTAATTTAAAATGTTTACATTTCAATTACTTGAAGCATATTTCAATTCTTTTGCAAAACTAAAGCAACACTGGGAATTCTGTTCCAATCCTTATCTCTACCTACAAAGCAGTAAATATCCACTTGCTTCCAACGATTAATTGCATCATTTCACCAACACATAAGTTATGTCGCTGCCTTGGTGTGCCCCACATACTTCTCTTACAATAAAATCTTGAAGTCGTGATTTTCAAACATTAAATGCTGAATGTTCAAAACAAGTAAATTCATATCTATTTTTTATAATTGCACTGGTATGTGGGAGGAAGCATATA